TGGTAATAATATTGAGCTATCAATATCATTATGTAATAGCGGTACATGTATTTGATAATAAAGCGATTTTGGTTTCATGGTGAGTTCATCATGTTGGTAATCTATTATACAATTAAATTTTCTGATGAAGTCAAGTCCAAGAATTCCATCGCATGGTATGGGAAATTCATTGTGGACTATTTGGAAATTGTGACTGATTACGAAGTAATCGAAAAGTAGATCAATTGTGGATTGTCCAATTGACTCTATTGTCCCCTGTCCGATTCCTGATGATACTTGTTTTGTAGTCTTGATTTACATGTGAATCTGTTTTATTGTTCTTTAAAATTGAGACATTTGCTCCTGTATCTACTAGCAGAGTCAATGGTATATTATTTTTCCCATTGTGTATTTTGATGAGACTACTGAGTCTATGATTAATACGCAACATTTTTATTGTTCGTTGCTCAAAGGGGTTTGTTGGTTTTCCGCGGTTTCCACCACGAGGAGAGTAATATTGGTAATAAAGGACAGTATTAGTTTGTCCGGTTGCATCTGTGCAACTATCGACAAATTTGGATATGGCATGTTATTGAATTTGCCTGCCTGCATGATAAGTTTCACCCTATCTATAGCGCAGTTCTGGCAGTCATGGCCTTTGCTGCTTGGGCTGTACTGTATTTATTGGCCAATTCTGGCGTTAAGCCATCGTTTATAAAAGCTCCTTCTAAAGCTTTTGTTAACTGCTCAACCTCTTGAGTGTACTTGTTAGCAGTTTTCCTTTTTTGATGCAAGTTAATTAGTTTGACTGACAATACTTCGACTGATTCGCCTTTTACTGTGCTTAATAATTTTGCAATGACTTGAGCGATAGTTTGCTCATTGCTTATTAAGTTTCTTGCATGGCCTTTTAGTTTTGTCTTTATAAAACTGAAAGCTGTTGCTTCATGATCTTCTTTTAGTGAGTCTATAAGAATTAAAGCATCTTTGAAGCTTTGTAAGTTTTCTGCATTACCATCAAACTCTGATAAGAGCGATGAGGATAGATTGAGAAAACTTAAAGCTGTTTGGGCCATTGTGTTGTCAATTGATTGGATATTTACTTCGGTAACTGAAGGTTTAGTATCAGCTGGCAATGAAAGTAGTTTCGCGTCGAATGACGCTGAAGTGTTAGGAGAATTTGGAAGGAATATTGTTATATTATGCCTATCCGAAATTTGTTTAATGTTTTCTTTTAACGTGTTTAATGCATCAACTGTCTATTTCTTTTAATTTCGTTGCATTGTCACAATTAAGTGCACGGCTGATATTGTAGGAATCTACAAGAATTTTAACGTGTTGTAACTTTGTGTCGTTTGAAATCGGTGCACTTTTGTTAAGGTACTTGAAAGATTTATTTAACTCGGCACCTTGTTCCCTAAGAATGGTAACGATTTGCGTCCGTTCCATTTATTGAGATTTTTAATTTATCAGTGCAAGCGCACAATAATAATGTCGATAGGTCCTAAAATAGGGTGTTCTAATTGAAGTGTGTTTTTTAATGCTACAAAATTCAACGTTCTTCCTAATATTGGGTGTTCTTTAATTACTGATCTCACTTGCATACCAGGAATAGTACTTAACACTATTCCTTTTTGAGTTTTTGAGCAATGTATCAGAGGTGAGTGATCGAGATTGAAAGTATCCATATATAGAAACATAAGTTCGTATATACTTATTGGAGTTGCAGTTACTAATTGCTGAGCTCTTTCCCTAAAATTTGGGTCTCGTAAATAAACTTATGCTATCGCTTTGTTCGTAGCCATTGAGTTTATTTAGGAGAGATCATTTATTTTTTCTTTAAGCACCTATTGTGCACTTTGTACAATTTGAAGAAAAGGCTAATGCACATTAGCACTACGATAATTACAAGGAGAACTGTTATTATTTTTAAGTCTGGTGTTTCCATCTCAACTTTATTAATGACGTTGGCGGTGGAATCCACCGTCTTTGTGTCTATTAATCCCATGTTAGACCAAGGGAGATGATTATGGAATGTGAATAATACCTCCGTTTTGAAGGCTTGAAATATAAAAATTTAATAATTAGCGTGAAATTAAAAAAAAAAAATGTTTAGTGAATTTATAAAATCAATAGGAGAACACTTTGTAGTGTACATTGGCAAATGTCAAGTTCACAAAAGTTTACGTAGCATAAGTTTACGCTACAAAGTGTTTGTTAGTTTTTTGTTGAACTGAGACATTGTTAGTTTTCATACCTAGCGCAAGCGCAAGATGGGTTCTTAAAAAAATTAGGCGAGGCACTAACGTGTGAATCTCCTATATTTAGTGTCTGCTTCTCCTTTTCCCCATTTCGGCATTATCAAATTTTATTTGCCTAACAGTTTCTAATTGTTTTGGCAGCCACTAAAGATTTCTGCTCTTTTGTATATTTATATATACATTTGCACATAAATAATTGGGTGAGAGAAGTTTTGTGTCAGGGGGTGTCTTTTTTCTACTAATATATGTTATCCGTTTTCCTACATTTTTATGCAGATTGGCTCCTGGCTATGGCAAAGGAACAGCGCTATGGACAACAAATCGCAAGTGACATATTTTGAGGCACCTGCTGGGCCTCAATCTGTAATTTAAAATTTTCTTTTATTTAAATTTAGACGAAAAATTATTATTAGATATTATTTGTGCTTCACAGATTTTTTATGATGTATTGTACTTGACATTTAAGTTGGGGCAGCAACAGGTCAAGCTTTAAGATCCTCCCCGCAGTCAACCAGAGGTGAGTAAGACCTCGAGGAATGGAAATGTCGGTTAACAAAATAATTAGTATTTAAAATCGGACTTACGTATTTTTGTTGCTTTTCGAGCACATAAACGGACAGCCTGCAAAACATTCATATGGTGAACAGATGTTGAGGTCCACCCTAACGGAGCCCTTTCCACCATGAGTTGGCCATATAGACAAATCTAAACGTGCAGACGCCGTACATTTCCTATTCGGACATGTTCAATGTGACATACAATAAATTAACTCTTAACATTATTAACAATTACATATCACTATTTTTGAAGGGCGAACGCAAAACGACTTGACGAAACTGACGCAGAGAACAAATAAATAAATATATTTTATCCCAAATAGTAAATATAAAAAAAAATAAGTTTAAGTCATAGCCGCTTTCACGTGGCCGCTACCTATAAATCATGCAAATGCTTATAATTAATAGTAAAATGTAACAATAATTAGAATAATAATAATTAAATTAGTATAACATTACATCTATTCACAATTAATTATATGAATGTCTATATTAATATATATTCTGTTATTTTCTTTGGAAAACAGTTTTATTTAAGAAAACTCTGAGGCCTCCAGAGGTGGTGGCCAATTCGCTCCCCTGGTGACCTGATCTTCGCCTATCCTCTTTGCGGCACCTCCCCTATTGTGACACTTTTTGTTCATCAACACTATTAAATTTAATTATATCTCTATATATAAAACTGTTTGTCCTGACTGACTGACTGACTGACTGACTGACTGACTGACTGACTGACTGACTGACTGACTGACTGACTGACTGATTGGTGATCAACGCACAGCCCAAACCGTAAGAGCTAGGAAGCTGAAATTTTCACTGTATCTACCTTATGTGATGGAGGTGCACGTTAAGACGGGGTTTCAGGAAATTCCACCCGCAAGTGTGGCAAAATCGCGAAAAATGTTTGTATGTAATTTTTTTGTTTACCATCGGATTGGCCTCAAACTTATTTTCAAAGATCTTTGTTCAAATTCATTTGAGGGGTGTTTCACACTTTTCGAAAAATACGTTCCTCCTTGGTGGAAATGGAGGTCAAAGATTTGGTGGGTGACGTTTCGCGCTCAAATTCATTTCCAGAGATTCATTTCAAAGATTTTTTGGGCGAAGTTTTAAGTTGTGTCCGATTTGCTTCAAACTTATTTTCAAAGCTCTACATAAGAACTTAATAAATACGTATTTTAGCGATTTGGGAAATTCCACCCACAACAGTGGTAAATTGGCGGAAAACGTTTGTATGAAAGTTATTTGTTTACCGTCCGATCAGTTTCAAAGTCATTTCAAATTTTTTTGAGAACATTGATTTTATAACATACGTGCCACGGGCAAGGCCGGGTTATACCCGCTAGTATATATATATTTTTATTATTTTAACTACCCTTTTATATTTTCTTTTCATCACTTGTCTTTTATTTATTTTATTTAAATTACCACAGTTTCGATTTTTTTTTTATAATTTTCAGGCTTTGCATACGGCTAGCTTGTAGTGGGCTCAGGGATTTTTCATTTTCTAAGGCACCGCCCAACAGAAAACCCCGCTCTCCCTTCGAAAATGCAGAGACTCACGCTAAGGAACTTGTCACTCCGATAATTGCGCACCCCTTGAATCCATCGATAAATTTTCTCATCCATCTTCAATTGGCAATCGACACATAGCATATTGTTTAATTATTGTGTTTTTTTTTTATATTGTTACGGAACTGCTTGTTTCTCAGTGGACCGCGCAGGCTGGCTCATCGGGTTCTCTGGGTGTAGTCCCATCCCTTGTCCGCAGTCCGCATAATCGATAACAACAAAGCTACAACTTCTGTACACAACACTACGCAAAA